TAAGTGTTAACGAGCAGTTGGACAGGTGTACCTAATAAAGTGGCCGGTGAGTGTATATATATATATATACATATATATATATACATACATACTTTATGTTCAAGATGAAGAAACGAGTTTAAGCATTTGTCAAAGTTAAATAATTTACCAAACTAAAACCAGCACTCTAAAACAAGTACAAGGACTAAAGAATGTGAAAAAWGTCCAAAGAAAAACTTTGAAAGTCTCCAGAAAACGTGAGGAATTATTGCCCAACACCACTTGATCCAGCTGCTTTTAATGCTTGAGTTGATCCCCTCCTTGAATTTTCTGTATTTTTTTTTCCTCAGGGTCACTCGCGCTCACCTTGTCTCCAGTGACTTCCACGCCCGTTACCATGCCCAGTCTCGAACCTACGTCTACAGAATAGCGCTGGGTTGTGGCAGCAATACTCCGCTTCCACTCACAGAGGAGTGTCTSTTGTGGGGCCTCCGCAACAAGTGAGTGATGCAGGTTCACACGCCACGCTGTACTTCATTCACATCTTCTTATCCGTCTTTGTTTAGTGAGCAGAACCATGAGAAATCAAGCTTAATCACAGATCATGACTCAGAAGAAACTGGACTTTAAACGCGTGAATATGTGTAAACTGGAAAAGATGAGGGRCTGTGGGAGTGTTTTATGTAAGCTGACATAAGGAAACAAACAAAGGATGTAAATAGAATACAGAGACGGAGTGCAAAAAGAGATAAAATGTTGAGGGCTTTGAAGCTTATGCAATGTTCTTTCAGCTGTGATTGGAAGGAGGGAGCATGAAAAAAAACTGAGAGAATGTATGTTTGAGCATTTGTCTGCTCTTTGTGCTTCACTTTTTTTAGGGAGAAAGTAGGGCAAGATAAGCTGCAGGCTTATACATATGCTGAACAACACCCACACATTTTAGCCAGGTTTCTTCTTTTTTTTCCCCCTCACTCTGACTTTCCATCTTTTCTCTCTCCTCTCCTATTTATCCCTCAGTCTCTTTCTGTCCTCCCTCTCCGTAATTTCTCTCCCTGACGTCTCCGTTTCTTTATCCCTCTCTCATGTTCGGTCTCCATCTTCCGTCTTTTCACCCCCGAGCTCCTCTGCCTCAGCAGCGTCTCTCTGTTTTCTCTTTGATCTTCCGCTCCCTCCCTCGTCATCACACTCGCGTTCCCGCTGCAAGAAATATCAGATTGTTTCATTTGTTGTTATAATGCAGGAGTGATTTTTATGTTTTGACTTCTTTTCTTAAGCTATTTTAAAGCATTTTCACCAAATTTTGATTACCTGTATGTTGATTCTGACCTAAATATTTTTTGATAAAATAAAGGTTTTATAGCACTTTTGTGAGATTAGATGTATTTTGATCAAACATTACAGTGACATACTGTAATATGAGGCCTACTTTTACTAATCCTTATTATACTTTGTTGCAGAAAAGTACAAAGAAAGTATAGCTCATTTACACTTTGTTTTATAAAGCAGAGGGMTGAGATTGTGAAACAATTACTGATGCATCTTTAATTAGACTAGAGCCTAGAATAGCTCAGACCTAAACAAAAACATTTTTTCCTAAGCTGCAGTATAAAACGTTCCTTTATTGCTGACATCTGTAGTAATTGATGTCCATGGATCGTGTTAGAGTGAGTGTTAGGCTTGGTCGGTATGATGGTATTTTTGAATACTGTATTTTCTAAAGGTTATACCGCGGTATGAAAATGATCATTACCATCCAGCCCTAGCTGTAGGCAGCAGAAGCCATCACTGGCTGGTTTCCTTATTTTTCCTGCCAGAGGAAACGTGAACACAACATGCATATTGTAATTTTCTCCTTTTTAGTTTCATAGAAGATGAAATACTTCCAAACACTGGCTTTCAATGCAGCCTGTTCAACCATCTTGGGTCCGGTTGTTGGCTCGCTAATCCAAAACATTGTTACAGTTAACTTGCTTATAGGTGGTAAAATTGATTCCCAAGCATTCAGAGTCAACACTGACAGACAGCCTGAGCRAATAGTCAGATTTCGTCCCACTTCTGCTCATGTTTAAGGTCTGAAGCGACCACATAAAGCAGGGGTGTCAAACTCATTTTCACCGAGGGCCACATGAGCGTTATGGTGGCCCTCGAAGGGCCACTTGTAATGAACTTTGTTTCATGTTTAACTCTGACTAAACAGAGTTTTAACACGTCCTGTTTTAAACACTGATAAGTGTTTAAAAAACACTAAATGTACAACTGATTAAATATGTAATAAGTACAGAAATATGTGAGTAGCTGCATTATGGCAATTTAGTTTACGTTTGTTGACTTTAAAGCAGCTTATTTTCAGACATTAGTACTGTGCTATCCAACTAAATTGCTCAGTTACTTAAAGCCAACAGCTCAAGGACGGGGATTTATTTAATTTATTTTTATTTAATTTATTTTTATTAAAATAATTTTGTTGCATTTAACCATAAATTTAAAGTTTACCATTGATATAAGAAATAAATTTCATGTTAAGTTAAAAAGGGGGCCTGGCGGGCCACACGGGAGTTGGCCCGCGGGCCTTGTGTTTGGCACATGTGACGTAAAGAATTGGTCGGTCACTTAGCGCTGCGCTCACCACGTCTCTCCCTCCTTCTGTCAGCTCACATTCAGGCAGCGACGGAGCCACAGAGAATCTGAGCCATGGGTCCACTCTCACTCAGCCGTTCAGATGAGCCGTTTTGTCGACACGCTCCGCTCGCTCACGTGGCCTCATCCCGCCGAACGTTAATATTATATAAGTTGACTCAGAAACGGGAACAAGGAGATCTGAAAATAAGTCGTCATACTTGCTGCGCACTCGTGTGTGACTTTACTGTTAAAGAAAGTCACTTTCAGGTCATGTTACAATGTCACAATGTCACAATAGGCGACAAATGTTTAACATTTGTCTTTCTGGTCTTTCCTGCCTTTTGTGTTTTGCAGAGAGCTGGATGTGGGAGCCATGCGTGAAGCTGCTGCCCTGCTGGTCGGGACTCACGATTTTAGCACCTTCGCAGCAAACAGCCATGAAACGGTACCTAAAAACCCTGTGAAGACGATGGACATGGTTTCCATACAGCCAGGAGACTCCTTTGCAAAGTCACACTTTCACAGGTACATTTAACCACATGGGGGCACTACAACAAATAATGCACACAGTCTCCTCTTGCTTTGCTTCTGCTCATTCAGCAGAAATGCTACATTCACACATTATTCTTCATTTACATAAACATGTGAACTGAGATTAATTAAAATTTCATTTTAAAAAAATTATACCCATACATKTTCTGTCTCACATATCTGATGTAAACATTACTTTCTTTATGTAGCTTATGAACATAGTGTGCTAAACACCTGTGCTATATAAATCTGTCTGAATCTTTATGTTAAATGTAATCAGACAGGAAGTACTAAATCAAATTTCCATTTGAACTAATTTTAGCAGGTAAAAAWGGACTGGCCTGCCTTAATGCTGCTTTAAAAAATTGCTAAAAGTAAAATAAATGTCTTAGATTAAATGCATGTAAATCCAGTTGCATGTGAGGTGCAGTGGTGAAGTAAKGATGTGACATTTAAACAAAGCTGTGCATCTTAAATGTCACCTCAGCCTCTAATGCTGTCCACACAGACGAGGATCGTATTAAAGGGATCCACGATTAGTTGTAACAGACTTTATTTGATAAACGTATATTTCAACTGTAAAATTAAGACTGTAAAAATACTGTAGGCTGTTCAGTTTTGTAAATTTTTAAAAATATATTTTAACACAGATGGAGCCATTTTATTTACAACCAAAGCATTCTGGGTAAATGATGATGTGGATAGGTCCTCGGTGTGAGCGAGCTATATCCACCCTGAATGTTAATCTTGGACAATATCTGATGATCGACTCTTTTAAATGAAACCAGAGAGCGTTGACAGAGAGGAGAAGGTAGAAATGACAGTCTGTAACTGAAAATGCGGATGGAGGACAACAGAGCTGCTTCATGGAAGAAGAACCTCAGCTTAGCCTGTTRGCTTTAGCGCAGACACTACATTGCCTTATTTGTATTAGCTCGGCGCTAGAGCGACAAACAAGCTAAACTGAGGTCCTCCATCTATATTTTCAGTTACAGGCTGAGTCATTTCTACCTTCTCCTCTCTGTCAACGCTCTCTGGTTTCATTTAAAAGAGTCGATCATCAGATATTGTCCAAGATTAACCTTCAGGTGGATATAGCTCGCTAGCAGCCTTGCACCAAGGCGAGGACCTATCCGTCATTTTACCCTGAATGCTTTGCGTGTAAATAAAATGGTCCCATCTGTGTAATATATTTTTTAAAATTTAGTTTAAAAATTATAAAAACTAAACAGCCTACAGTATTTTTACAGTCTTTCAGTTAAAATCAACATTTATCAAATAAAGTCTGTTACAACTAACTGGATCCCTTTAAGATATCTAACCAAACAGATGTTAACAGGACTCTTTCTGCTCCTTTTTCTATTTAATTCTAAATAATTTGACTTATCCCCTGACAAATCACATAGTAACTTTTGTGTGCCTCCAGAGAGATGCCATTGTTGGAGCTGACTTTCAGAAGTAAATCATTTCTCTACAAGCAGGTTTGTTGCTTTCTATTTGTCGCTAATCTGTTTTATTAATCTGTGAATGTGTGGTTGTTAGCAGGACCATCTGCTGGCAGTTATTTGGATCACAAACCATCCAGTGACTATTTAAAATGCGTAAAAGAAAGTCCTGCAGTTTTCTGTGGGACCAGTAAAACTGGTTCTTTGCTCCAGGTGCGGCGGATGACCGGAGTGCTGGTCGCTGTAGGTCAGGGTCGGCTCTCGGTGTCTAAGATAGCAGACCTGTTGGAGGCTCGGGACACTCACGCCTTCCCTAAAAATTTTGTTGCTCCAACTTGTGGCCTCTTCCTTACCAATGTGGACTACAAAGAGTCAGGTAAGACAGGACTGAGTGACAACGTGCTCTTTAAAGCTCCTGGAGCTTATTTACCTGGGTTTATTAAAAACAAATTCTCCAAAATAAAATCAAAAATTGTACCTGAATAAAAATCTGTCACTTAATTTTTTTTTTCACAATTTGGTACATTTACTCCTGCACAGTGCATTCCTAAAGGGTAACTGAATTGAAATGTTGCTAATTATTCCCCTCCCCAACTAAAAAGCATAATTTAAATGATGTAATTTAAACATAAATCTTAATTAGTCCACTAAGTACCACAAATATATTTGTCAAAAATAGGCCGGAGTTCAGTTTTGTGCCAAYGTCCTTCAGATAATGATGAAAAAGGACAAAAAATAATGTCAATTTGGAGATAAAGTCTGATTCTGATTGATGAGGGAACTTCATATTGTGTCAATGAGTATACCGTACTTTCCCATGGGTGGCTGTGGAGCAATGGTAGAGCAGCTAACTTGGGACCAGAAAGTCATAGGTTTGACTCCCCACCATGCTCACATGCYGTGGTTTCCTTGAGCAAGACACCTAACCCCCAAATGCTTCCTGAGCATCTTAAATAGCTTCCCCTGCTCTACCTAGCTGTTTCTYACGTGTGATGGGTCAAACGCAGAGCACAAATCTCATCATTCCATGGGAACATGCATTGATGACAGTATAAAGTACATTTACTTGTTATAATTTACATCGCTATGKTATTTTAATCAGGAAATGTTTCTCATTAATTATTTCTCTGCTTTTTCAGACCTRCAGTATTCAGAACAGCTGTTATCCACAGACAGTGCAAAAGACTGATGCTATTTCCAGACTCCCTTTTTCCATTCTGGGTCATGGGGGAAATGGTACCCATCTCCAGCAGTCACCGTGCAAGAGTCGAGGCACACCCAGAACAGGCTGCAAGTCCATCACAAGACAGAAACAACCGTTCATACTCTGAGAAAAACCCCTCCTGAACATGCTAACWCCACACAGAAAAATCTGGAGGTGTACCGGCAACAGCACTGATGCTACTTGAATAAGTTTTTTTTTAGAATAAACTTTTTGTAATCTTACATGTGAATGTTTTATGGTAGCACAGTTTTACACAAATAAGCAAAAGGCAACATGAACACCTATGTTTGTTTAATTCCAGATATTAAGAATACTTAAGTGTCCATGAACGCAGCTCAGCTACAGAAGACCACACCTCGAGTCTGTCCTCTACTTCTGACAGAAACCTCCCTCTGGTTAGTCAACGTAGACATCCAGGAACAAGGGTCGTAGGTTTTAAAATGTCAAAGTAAATGAGTGGGGAWCAGTGTTGTTTTCTATAGCCAAAACTGCTGAGTCCATGTTTCTCAGAGGCATTACATTATGGATCAACAAAGTGCACACACGCTCACTTATAATGTATACATCCAAGTGTCCTAATAAAACTGCATACACTGCTTTTTATTTTTAATTCCAGAAGTCTTCAGACCSATTCTTCTGGTCACATCCTTCTAATTTGGCTGTATTTGTTCAGTGAGTTGTTTTTCAGCAAGAAGTCCATAAACAGTCTGTTAAAACCAGAAAACCACCAGCCGCCTTCTGTGGAGCCGGGAGACACACGAGGTCTGCTGCAGGTTCATGTTGACTGGTTCTGATTTTCCAGTGCGCTGAACAAAATATCAGACATCAAATTTCTTTACACACACACACATATATATATATATATATATATATATATATAATTTTACAGTCAACCAACTGACAAAAGGCTAACTGATTTAAGCTCACTGTATTCAAAGTACTGCATCTGTCATATGAGGAATGTTTTKTTTTCTTCACTTCTTAGAAGTGACAAACTCAATAATTCAGACACTTTTTTTGTAACATAAAATTTTAAATATGTACACAAGTACATGTTTTTGTATTCATGTGACCACAGTGAGTCTAATTAGCATAGGTCCTCAAGTCAATTCAGCATTTGGTTTCAAGAGTATTCATACAACCTAAAGGCGTCCAGAATTCAATAAYCAAAATTTTCAAGTGTTAGTCAGAATATTAAGCCCAATTTCTTAGAATATTCATATCAAAATTGTGTGTGTGTGTAATTATATATATATATAAAATAAATAATGCACTTGAGGAACGCATTGTGTTTTTTTGTAACTCAATCCTTTTTAACAGCTCAGTTTGGATGAAACATGTAAGTTTAGATAAAGTGTCGAACTGGAAAACCTGATTGAAAGACTTGGAGACACGAAGAAAACAAATCCTGTCAAACTACAGGTCACGGTTAGATTCTAATGGGATCTGATGAATCTGAAAGAACAAAAGACGACTTGTGATTAATGCTTGGAGCTGAGCTTGTGGCCATTCTGGATTTTTTTWAATCAAAATGGCACCACGCATGTGAGAAGTGATGCTGGCTGATGATTCGAGGCTTAAGACAGAAATACTTTTATGTCTATGACTTAGTATCACTCTAGGCAGCCTTTTTTGGCATCGGACTACACACCCTGATACTGAAGACGAGGTTATTTTGAGGAATAATTTGAGTTAAGTATTTAATAATAGCTATCACAGGCTGATGAGTTTGCATAGACCCTTAAATCCTAAACCATCACCATCTCAAAAAAATATAAAATAAAATAAAGAACTAGCACTCGGAGCAGCATACCCAGCTTTCACCCTTTGTACTCCTGTTTAAAAGATTAAACAAAGCCCAATAAAGGCCTGGTTACATTCGATTTGAAATAAAAAACGYTGTGGCACTTTCTCCCTGCCCTTAATAAAAAATTTTACACGAATGATTTTGCCACAACACAGCTTTTAAAATTCAAAACTGTTCCAATAAATAACGGGCTATGCTTGCTTCTACAGCATTACAACACACAGCATTAAACTCACAAACTTTATTTAAGTACAAAGAGTGAAATAGGGTATGTTCGAGAGATTTACAAAATATTTGTCTGAGAGGAGATGTGTCCACATGTAAACATACGCTGTGTGTGTGTGTGTGTGTGTGTTTTTGCTAAAAAATAAAAACTAAAAAGCATAAAACGTTGTAGAAGCGTACAGTCCGTGGAGAGTGAGGAGAAGGAGAAGTTGGACCAGCTTCTAAGTTTTAATCGTGTGTGTCCTTTAGCTGGCAATTTTCTCTATTTCATCCAGATCATCTGTGTCTAATCTTTCGATTTTCTTATCTGCAGAGAAACAAGACACAAAATAAAGGATTGATTTAGTAAATTAAGGGAAGCTGTCATCTTCTTGAACKGACAAGTTAAGCTATAAAAAACTCAAAACAGCTGTGATAACTGCAGCCTTTCAGCCAGTGGTGGACAGTRTTCGAGTACATTTACTTGAGTACTGTACTTAAGTACATTTTTTGTGTATCTTTATTTGAGTAATTATTTTTTGGGGTACTTATGACTTTCACTCCACTACATTTCAAAGACAAATATTGTACTTTTTACTCCACTACATTTCTAGGAAGCTTTTAGTTACTCGTTACTTTTGGTTCAACATAGTTTTGTAATTAGCCTGATTAAAACCAGACCCCTGTCCTTCTCTTTACTTCGTACAAGGGTCTGGACTCTCAGCTATAAGAAGTGATTCTTACTGGAGGCGTGGCCTCTGTTGAAATTTAAAACGATAGGATCGGTTGGCCGCAACATATGCATGCCAGCTCTACTGTGAAGGAGGCTAAGCTAAGAAGCGAACAGGAAATTGTGTGTGCTGTAAACAACCCTACTGAGAGGAGAGAAGTAC